GGGACGAAGACGTTTCAAAGGGTTATTAGATGATTCTCTTCGTCTTCTTCACTTGATCGGTGTTCCATCAAACGACTCAAGAACAATGTTGATCGAAAACAATCGAATCTTGGAGTCGCTGACTTGGGTCTTGCATCAAAAAGACTTCATCAACAAGGCTTACACAATTGTTCTCTTGAGGAATCTAACGGAAAACACCTCCTCTCATATCATAGAGAGATTGAATCCCGAGGTTTTTAAAGCGATCATTGGGTTTCTCAACGATGTAGCAAACTGCGCCAACCGCGCAAACCCTAGCGTAGGAGACACGGTAGAATCATCAAACCCTAACTCGGGAAAACCGCCATCAAAACTTGATCATAACTTGGTTACTAAACAAGCGGTAACCGCATCGCTGATGATTCTTGTAGAGGCTTCTTCGTGGAGCCGGAACCGAACAATCCTTGTGGATCTCAGTGCAGTTTCCGGACTCATCGAGCTCGAAATAAGCTCAACCGGTGAGAAGAGAACCACAGAACTCGTGTTAGGAGTTTTGTCTCGTTTATGTTGTTGCGCAGACGGTAGAGCCGAGATTTTAGCTCATAGAGGCGGCATCGCGGTTGTGACAAAGCGGGTTTTGTGGGTTTCGACAGCGGCAGACGATAGAGCTCTCTCTATTCTAAGCACGGTGTCAAAATTCTCGCCGGAAAACACGGTTGTGGAAGAGTTGGTGAACGTTGGGACGGTGGAGAAGCTTTGCTCCGTTCTAAGAGTGGGTTGTGGTTTGAGCTTGAAGGAGAAAGCTAAGGAGATACTTAGAGATCATTTTGATGAGTGGAAGAAGTTTCCATGTGTTGATATGACTCTACTTACTGAGCTTCTAAGCTCTTCACCTAAAAAATTACTCAAGTAGTTTTACTCACGAGTAGGTGTTTAGTTTTTGTTTTTGTGTACTCAACATACTCTATATATATATATATTAACTGAGACAATAAATAAAAAAATCTTATCAACGAGGATTTTAAAGAACACATCAACTAAATTAATTAACCAATCAAAACATTCAATTAATTTTATCTGTCATGTTGGAAATCTCTACGTATTTACATTATTTTTAACTGTATTCACAAATACATATATCTAATTTAAATCCTACTAAAATATAACATTTTAATATTTTAAACGTTTTATAACATAATGTTTTAACGATGAATCATTTATCGACGCCAATTACTTTATAAAAATTGTATTTATGTCTATTTGGATACCATATGTGATTGATAATACAATTATTTATTTTTATATCGCTTAATTGTATTCATATTACTCTAATTAAGGTTATGACTTTGTTATAAACATACCACTTTACAAATCAAACATTAATGATTGAATTTCGAAAATATCATTTTCACTTTTTG